TTTATCTTCTGGAACATGAGTGTTGCAGGAGTGGGCTGTGGTTGCGTGAAACACAATCCGAGAGGCAGCAGGGCTGCTTGTATGAGTAAGGTCAGCAGGGTTTGCTCTCAAATTCATCCAGGCGTTACTGCGCACACTAATGAAATGTGCAGTGCAGGAGTACGGACTTCTGCTTCACTAAGGATAATAAACAGTAAAATCTGAGGTTTTATTATGGTATATATTACAACTTTCCATTATTTGTCATCTCCTCTTTGCCTCACCTTTATTAGGTGTCACTTTGGCTCTAAGAGTTGAACCTCGGTACACCTAGTTGTATAAAAAGGAGAATTCAAATGTGTTTTTGCCTAGCGCCCTGCACCGGAATGACTGAGATTCTACATGACCACTGTTAGGGCTGCAGATTTCTATGTGTGCCACAAAGAATTAATTGTGCAATCATCCTGCGCTCGTCATCAGTGTGAGCGCTTACAAAAGTCACCTCTTAACTTTTAAACGTTATTCCTTCTTCCAACAGTGTTCTTTAGTTCATGAAACGGAGCCAGCCACCTTACTTAATGACCTGGTCGTCAGCAGTTTCAGAGAGATTATTGCCTTTGTATTTCGCAGAGCGCATTTGCCTATAACCAAAACAATCTCAAAAGAAACCACAAATTGTAAAATCCTGACCATGTAATTCTTAAGTTAATAGGAAACATGAAACCTTTGCGTTCAGTGAAGTAACTTTCCAGGTGTCCCTGTTTTTCTAATAAACACTTACTGTTTATTAAAATATATATATATAAAAAGACAGTGTTGTATTGAATTAAAAGCTCCAAAACAGATTAAGTTCTGTTCTTTCCCTGTATACACGCTAAGGGCCCATTCCTGCTTTTTGACTTACAAAGCTTCCACTGACAGCAGCCCTGCAGGATAAACCCATTTCATAAAGGCACAGGGAACGGATAAATGTGGTTAAATGTCAGTGTTTGGTAATCCCAGCAGCTTTTGAAACTAACAGGTAATTGTTAATTAAAACCATTTTGGAATGAATAAAAAAAAAAAAAAAAAAAAAGCTTTTTAGGCTAAAACACAAAGCCATAATGAGGATGAGTTTAACAGATACATCACTCCTGGAAATTAAGGGTAGAATAGGGGAACCGGATTACCTGTGCAGAAGGGCACGTGATAACTGAATTCTGATGATGTTACTCCTTATCCAGCTTTGCAGAGTGCACACAGTTGGGCATTGTCATTCCTGACAATTTTTGGTTGCCTTTCTTGTGCATTACAAGGTAGGAACATCACCTTTTCGAGTCTAGTTTGCAGGAATTCCATGGCAAAAAGCCCCCAGACTTGTATGTGCAGGGGATTGACTTTTAGAAGTAAGATCAGGTATCTCCTGATGTCTGTAATCATGTCTAGGTTCCAGATATTTTCCATTTGGTGCTTATGAATGTGGATGTGTATCGGCATGATTTGGTTGGCAGGTAGGTATCCCTTCCTGGAGTGAACTGAAGCAGCTCAGCCATGAGCTGAGCCGGTCTTCTGTGCCTGGTGGGTATTTAGCTCAAGCGGCTGGGCCTTTTGGAAAGGACAAGAAGTCCATCTCTGCTCCTGCACTGGGGAATTCTGCCTGGCAAAAGCATCCATGTGGCAAGACCAGAAAGCTTTAGGGAATTGAGCTGTGTTTCAGTGAGGAGTCAGAGTGGAGACCTGCTCTTGGGTAGGCCCGACACCATGTCATGCTGAAAGGGTCAGAAGGGAAGCAAATGGGTTGTCTCAAAAAACAAAACCAAGATTTATTTTAATTCCTTTTTTTTTCTTTTTCCCTAGCTGGACTAAAAGAGTCTGAGGAAACGTTTCCAAATCGGAAGGAATCTCAGCAACTTCCAAAATCTAGTCAGACTGGTTTGCTGTCAGCCTGGCTTAGTGGAAGGCTCCTGTGGAGCTTGGACCTCCCGCACCTCTGGCTGTATGACCAGTGTGGGCGGCCAGGCACTGAGTACACAGGGGGTTGATAGCCTCTGTGGACATCGCTAGTGCTCCAGTATTTGTGAAGGACACTGCAAAGTTTGTTGGTTTTGTCTTAGTTTTGCTTTTTTTTCCCTCTGAATTGGAATACAATACAAATACACCTGCAAAAGCAGCAAACTTTGGGATCTGGCAGGGCTGTACCTGCGCAGGTCTCCTAAGAGGAGGTGGGAAGTTTCCAACAGGAGGGTGTTAAGCTCTGTCCCCATGGTCGCTCCAAAGCCCCCAAGGCAGGCGTTGGGCAGTGCGCTTACAGCAGCCAAGTGTTGCAGGGCCTTAGGTGCTGCGTCAGGAATTTCTTCATGGTTTCAGCTGTAGCTTTTGGAGGAAATCATTTAATAACTGTTCTCTTCAGAAGTATTTGTGGTTGAGGTGCCTCGTGTAACAGAGCCGGTTCCCCAGCTGGTTGGAGCAGTCATGGAGCTGTGAGATGTAACAGCTCGAGGAACTGTTCCCTTGGTTTTGTACAGGTGTGTTGCAGAAGTGAAACCAGCTGGGGCTACACATGGAGCTTGCTTGTTTATTTGAATGATCTTGGAAGCATTGCCATCCCTGACACTGCAGCTGTGTTTTTGAGGTCAGTGGGAGCAGGGCATTGACATGTACAGCAGTAAAAGCGTGATATTGTGGTAGAGATGTTTAATCTGGCCTTGCAGGAATTCACACACTGAAGTGGAAAGCACCATTAACTCTCGCATCAGGGCGCAGTCTCTGTGTCTGTACATCCCCACACACTTCCAAAGAACAAAGAAGGTTTACTTTCAGAGTCTGTGTGTCTATCCATACCTATAAATGCTCAAGCATTGTGCAGAATGAAGACAGTTCCCAAGATGTGGTCACCCAGAGGAAGTCTTTGGTGGTGTTTGGCTGGTTTATACCTTATGTGATGCGCATTGTGCTCTCAGATCCCAGTCATCCTCTCCCACTTCTCCTATGTGTGTCTGCCTGTTTGTGCAGTGGCCCAGCTGTGCTTCTAAATGCCTGTGGTGCTTTGAGTACTGCTTCTATGTGTTTCTCCATTTCTGGAGACAAGAGGTTCCTGCTCTGGCAAGAAACAACCTTGTCCCACCTAGGAGGGTGGGATTGGAAGCTCTTGACATGACTTAACTCAGAAGGGAATATAGGGCTAAATGGATGGGGATAAAGAGAAAGGCTATTTGCTAGCTTTCTAATGTTAATATTGATGTAGAGGGGTGATAAATGGACTGAGAGAGAAAAGCTGTATGGCGTAAGGTTGAGGGATGCCCAGTAGATGGTGATGTCTCCAGGGCAGAGGGGCAGCTGTCCTGCTGAGGTCAACGCCTGAGCTTTGCACACACGCACTGGAGCAGGCACGGATGGAGCCTGTGATGTTTGCTGCGGCCGAAAGAGGCACTGGAAAATTGAATTACAGGCGCCACAGCCTAAGCCTTTGGGGCTTGAGAATTTCTGTCCAGTGCAGTAAAGATGCATTTGCACACTTCTGCCAGAAGAGGAGACCTCGGAAAAGGAGCAAAACCTCCTCATCTCCCCCTTGTCGCTGCTTGGTGGGTAGCACTGATGACCAAGTGGGGAGATGTCCATCAGCGGGGAGTGATGAGAACTGACTACAGCAGGGTTGGAAGCGAAGCCCAGAAGTGAGGCAAGGGGCAGCACAGGGACTGACCAGATCCTGCTGATGGAGCAGTGCCCATCCTCACCCTCTGCCCTGTGATCTTCCACGTAAACACATCCAAATGCTTCCCTGCATGCTGGAGAGGGACTCTACATCAGGGACTGTAACAATAGGACAAGGGGTGATGGGTTCAAACTGAAACATGGGAATTTCAGGTTAAAGAAGCTCTTCCCTGTGAGGATGGTGAGGCACTGTCACAGGTTACCCAGATAAGCTGTGACTACCCTATCCTTGGGGAATGTTCAGGGCCAGGTTCAACGGGGCTTGGAGCAACCTCGTCTAGTGGAAGACGTCCCTGCCCATGGCAGGGGTTTGGAACTGGATGAGCTTAAAGTCCTTTCCAACCCAAACCATTCTATCATTCTGTCATTCCCAAGAAGCGAGTAATACTTCCTTTAAGGCAACGGTGGTGTTTGGCCTAATAAATAATAGGTGCAAGAAACTTTAAACCCTCAAATAAATAATAAGGAAAACAGCCTGTCCGAGCTGCTTTCTTTTCTCCCCTCTCTCGTCCTTCCCCACCTTGGGCTCAAACACCTCACTCGCACTGCACCGACTCCCCTCTCCGCTGCTCTCGGAGGGCAATAAATAACCGGGCGGTGGCCGTCGGAGCCCTCCGTTTCCCCGCAGCCCCTCCCCGTCACTCCGCGGCGAGGCGAGCACGTGGGGCGGGGAGAGACCTTATAAATCTCCCAGTCCCTGCGCGGCCGTGATGTTATCTGCTGGCACCCGTTCGCCGCTCGCAGGGCGCGCCGAGGGGCCGGCGGGCGGGGGGTGCCGAGCGGAGCACGGCTAAGATCCGCCGGGAGCCGTGCCGAGCAGCGCCGCGGAGAAGGGGAGGAGGAGGAGGAGAGCGGCGCTGCGGCCGCGGATCCGCGGTGGAGGCTGTCGGGGCGGCGGCGCTGCCTCCTCGCTGACTGCGGCGTTGGGGTTGGCGTTTGGGAAAAGGAGGAGGAAGAGGAGGGAGCTGGAAAAAGGAGCTCGGCGGCGCGGGGGTGGGTCGGTGCATGCGGCGCGGGGCGCACGCAGCAGCCTGCGGGACGCGGCCGGACCCGGGATCGCCGCCGCCGCCGCCGCCGAGCACAGGCGCCGCCGCTTGTCCCGGCCGCGGGGGCCGGCGCTCGGGCGCACACGTGCGCTGCTCTGCCGCCACCGCGGGCGCTGAGCGCCGCCGGGCGCGGGGCGGTGCCGCTGCCGCCGGGAGCCGCGGGCGCTCGGCGGGGCTCAGCGCTGCGCCCGCACGCCCTGACCCGCCGGCTGGGGCAGCGCCCGGGGTGCCCAGCGCCGCCGCTTGCACACACACCCCACACCCCCCATTTCCCCTTTTCCCGTTTTTCGGTTTTCTCCTTTTTTTTCCTTTTTCCTCCAGTTTTTAGCTCCAGCCGCCCCGCCAGCGCGCCGGGAACGGGCTCTTTTCCATTTACTTGATTCACAGGTTTGTTTTATCCGTTTGGGGGCTTTTTCCTCCCGTTTTTCTTCCGCTGCCCGGCTCACTCCACCCCCCGAATCTTACCGAGTTGTAGCAACTTGCTCCCCCCCCCCCCCGCTTTTTTCATTATTTTAATTATTATTGCTATTTTTTTCACTGACGCGTTGCGATTGCAAGTCGCCCTTGCAGTCCGGTTCCGAACTGCATTTTGTCTGCAGATCTTCCCTTTGTTTGCGCACACCCCCCCCCTTTTTTTTTTTCCATTCTTCCTTTTTTTTTTTTTAATCATTTTTTTTTCTGTAGTTGTTGTTGTTCGTTGTTAAAGTAACTTTTTTTTTTTTTTTTTTTCGGGGGGGCGCTGTATTTAAACACTTAAAATGCACTGCTATCTCCTGAGCGTGTTTCTCACCGTGGATCTGGCCACCGTGGCTTTCAGCCTGTCTACTTGCAGCACCCTCGACATGGATCAGTTTATGCGCAAGAGGATCGAGGCGATCCGAGGGCAGATTTTGAGCAAGCTGAAGCTCACCAGTCCCCCGGACGAGTACCCCGAGCCCGAGGAGGTGCCCCCGGAGGTCATCTCCATCTACAACAGCACCAGGGACCTGCTGCAAGAGAAAGCCAACCACAGAGCTGCCACTTGCGAGAGGGAGAGGAGCGAAGAGGAGTATTATGCCAAAGAAGTTTACAAAATAGACATGCAGCCTTTTTACCCTGAAAGTAAGTCCTCAGTGTTTGTGCATGTGTGTGTTAACTTAGCCCCCGAGGCTTGGCAGTGCCCAGCGCCTTCAAACACCAGCTCTGTGCATTGCGTTGTGCCACCTTTGCTTAGGTTGCTTTTGTCCTTAGCATCGTATAGGTGGTGACGTTGTGTTAGGTGGTGGGTATGCCTGTGCCTGGGTGGCTCAGGGGGTCAGCTGGCTCCCCAGTCCGCTTTGAAATCACTCCAGAAGTGCTTCTGCTTTCCATCGCTATGTACCTAGGCAGGGTCCCGACCCCTCCCTAGCCCTGGGTTTAGCTCCCCCGCAGCCCCCTGTGCAGCCTCCAGAAAGAGCCAATATCTTTCCACTGCTGTTGTTTCCTTTGGAGTGTCTGGATCGGGCAGGTTTCCATCTCTCCATAACTGAGAAGAAAAGGAGGTCTTTAAAAAAGAAGTCACGGGCTTCTCTTCTGCCTGTACCTCTTCTGTTGTCCCACAGACTGCTTGCTGTTCGGGTTGGTGCTTGGAGAGTACAGGGACATACAGGTCCTCCCCCCTCTTACCACTTTAGCCAGCCTCCCTTTTCAGTTCATCGGCGCTTTCACTTCAGGTACAGCCAAAGTTTTCCCTTCTGGGTAGCCTCGGTTGTTGGAACCTGTCTCAGCCCGTCTGCCTTTTGCTGTTTTTAACGACCTTCTGGTTGATCCATGCCACGTTTTGTGCTTAAAAAAAAAAAAAAAAGGAGAGAAAATGAAAAAAGAGGGGGAAAAAAGCCCTTAAATATGCTGACCAAATCCACTTAGAATGATTGATAATCACAATGACGTGCCTTTTTGTTTTGGTAGTGAAGGTTAAGTGTATAGAAGAGGAAAACAGAAAAAGCACTGCACCCCCTTAAAAAAATCTAGCTCATCACCACACTGAGGAAAGTGAAATACCAGAAGCAGAAAATAACTTCACTGTTCACATATCCAAAGACCAGTTCCTACTCCTTTCATTTAGCTCTCTTTTCCCTCTCTTCCCTCCCCCACCACTTGATGCCCTATATACTTTGCTGCCTGTTTCTGAAAAGCACATACCTCTTTGCTTAAATAGATAATGCAGCCATCTTGGTAACTTTATCCTAGAGTTTCTAATTGCATTTTCTCCTTATTTATTTTTAGTTTAGTAAGTTGTAGCTCTGGGGCTTGCTCCATCTTGCATGTGATAGTCCTAGGATGCCAGCCAAGGTATCCAAAGCCCGTGCTCAGTGCAGCTGCCTCCCCTTTCTTCCTTTATTCTTAAATGACAGCATCAGGTACAGGACATCCTGGCAGTCAGAGCCATTTTATTATTGTAATTATGGCACCATCCTTAATAGCCATGATAAATGCACTCCACCCTTGTTACCCTCGGGGAAGAAATACTTTAAAAAGGGTGAAAAAAAAAAAAAAGGCTATTTGGAGCCAAGTGGGTATGAGCAGAGAGGTTCAGTGTAATTAATTGTGAGAACACAGACATCGTGCCTGTTTTACACGTTGGAATACTGTAGTATTTTGCTGGTGGTTTTGGGGGAAGTCAGCACTCTGAGACCTACCATATTGTGCCCTAGGCAGAGGGATGAGCCCCTATGGGCAGAGGTTAGGGGCAGCAATAGCAGTGCCTTGGGCTTCTGGAGTTGACCCCAGAGCAGAGAGTCGTAAAATGCACCCACCCTGAGTATGTTTGTCCTGTTTCCTCACACAAGCAAACTGCAAAGAACCAATAGTCCAGAATGCAGCTGCATACTTTCCAGAAAATTAAAATATCTGTGGTGTGTGACTTGGATGGTGCTGACAAAAAGAGGATCTATTTTTAAAACGCTGTCAGAGAGGCCAGATCCGTGCTGAAGTATCAATAGGAAGGGTTTGGAAGAGCAAAGGAGATTGCAGGTATCTACCAACAGAGTGCATCAGACGTTTGGGATCGGAGGGGCGGTTAAGCCGCCGATCCAGTACTACTGTGCAGGGGCTGTCGCTAACATCACAGTAAGTAGGTTAACTGTTTTTCCACTGCTCTCTAGTTATGCTGGATGGAGCGAACCTTTCCAAAAAAGACAGAAGGAAAGGAATCGCTCCACCACATTCTAAAGGAAGAAATGGAAAGCGCAGCTCTGGCTGCCGCAGGCGCTTTCTCTGAGACGTCTTGGAGCGAGTATTTTTAACTCTATGGATTCTGCTGCATCCAAGGGAAGAAGGGGATCGGTGTGAACGCACTGGAGGTCAAAAGCTGCTGGAAGGCAGGCATGGGAAAGAGCAGTGGTTCAGTTTTTACCACAAGTTGTTAGCATTCAGTAACTGACTACAACCCAAGTATTACAAATATGCTCTAATTATACTCATAGTCAGCAATATATCACTACGGATCGCTGATAGGTCTTTGTGGGGCATTCTGTAAAGTTCAGGCTAAATATTTTTAGCAATGAGGAGATTTAAAAGGAAAACTATAAGAGATATTGTATATACCCTAAGGCATATTTTGTCTTAAATATTATCCTTGGCCAACTGTACTGTATAAATACAGTAAATATGAATAGAACTGGCAAGATGCCAATCTCCTGGGATGAATTTTAGTCAAGAAGGTATTTATGGGATATAAATAATACTGTGTCAACATTTAAAGAAGGGATCTGATTAGTTTTGAATTTATTCATATTAATCTTTTCACATGCTGTTAGTTTAAGGCTCAAAGTGAAGTTATGCTAAGGTTTACCCATAGTTTGTACTGAGGAAGTAAGGGGGCATCTGGCTTGACAGTCCACTTGAGGTTAAGGACACATCGAGTCAGAGTATATATGGAAATTTAGTGAGGCGGGGTCTGCCAGACCCAAAACCACCAGATGTGAAAAGTAGCGGTGGAAAAAAGTACTGCAAAGGGGTTTGGAGAAACCAAAAAGCTCCTGTCTGTCAGGCACGCCTGCCTGTGTTGTGCTTGCGACAGCGTGGGTTAGATACTAAAGGTTTGGATATCTTCTAAGTCCAGTTGGCAGCTGGAAATTGAGCTATTTTATAGAGTGGTTTGAAAAGGGGCTGGGGTATGGAAGCTGAGGACATCAGAGACAGATCTTGTGAGTTTGTGCCCAGGTGAAGTTACCTGAGCAGATGCTTAATGCTGATTTCTGTGAAAGGTGTATCACCTTAGAACTTGGTTACTTATCAGTTCTTCTTTGACTGTCTAGTGCCTGGTAGCGAAGCTAATTATTTATTAGAGGGTGAGGGATAATCACCATTGTACTGATAATAAACAGGAATCTAATGCAAGTACAGTTAAGGGTTGCAAATGCTGATGCATAACTGGGATACTTGAGAAGGACAGGCAGCGCATGTATGTGGGGCTGGGGCCCAGTTCTGTCATCTTCATTCGTGGCAGTTTTTATCAAGGTCAACAGCTATTCAGTACTGATGTCTTAACAGCTAATGCAGGTAAAGTGTTAATTTTTCTGCATTGTTTGAGATAGGTCTCTAAGTACTCAGTACCAAGAAATCACAGTTCTTCCGGGTTTGCATGGACTTTGAAATAGTTCGGTATGAAGGAGCTTCCATAGGTTCCAGATTGCACCGAGTGGTAGGATTAGTCTTTTCAGGCGCTTGGTACCATGAATATTACTTTACATAGACCCGTCATTCTGCTGAATATTTGCCTCATGAAAGACAACATTATAAACTGTCCAGACACAATGACATGCTTCTGCTTTATCAACAAGGACTCGATTTATGAGCAGTTATACATATTTGGGCTCCTTGTCTTCAGGGTACCAAAATTGCTCATGCAGGAGCGCCATGCTCATGTCTGCTGGCACTGACTGCGTCATTACCGTGATGTTAACACTGGGATGGCTCGTGTGCATTTGCATTTAGCAGAGCACAGACCTTAATCTGTCAGGGCTTCCTATGTCGTTGATTATATGGAAATGGTCTTTGAAGGAATACCATATTTAAAAGCCTCCTAGCTATGCTGGCCCTATGGTTATGCTCTGGAGCACCTGTTGTAGGGAGGTGCTTGCCAGTTTTACTGTCTGGTTTGCAGAGGGGACCTGAAGCAATGCAAAGGCTTCTCTGAGGAAAGAAGTGGGAGGAATAGTTCTTTGCCCATGAATAACACTTACTGAAGTCTTCCTGGGTTGTGATATAAAAACCCCAGGAAATTGCAAATAGCTTTAAAAAAGGGCAGGGTCATTTTCTGGACAGTAGTCCCCTATACTCTAAGAGGGATAATCAAATAACACGCTCTGGTGCGCTAATGAAGGGTAGCTGAAATCTAAGAGAGCTCTCTTCCACTCATATAGAGCAGGTGGGGGGGGGGGTACCACTTGTGTGATCTGCTGGCCTCCCGAATCATCAGCAGGGCACCACACTGGGAGCGGGGCAGGACCACAAGCTGGTCTGGCATGGTATGTGATCCCTGAAGCCTACAGAAAAGCAAAACACCCATGACACCCTTCTTTAATGTTGCAAGGTCAGCAGACCTACAAGACAAATGTAGGGCTATATTCCTGAGTCCTTTCCATAACCCTCCTTAAGTTTATCTCTGGTGTCTGTTTTAAAGAGTCACTTTGATTAGGTGAGTGAGAAGGTTAGATGTGCATCACTGCCCCTGCTGCTCCACAGCCCCAGCCTGCTGGCACTATGAGTGTTGTGTAGTCCAGAGACCTATCTGGCAATGTGCCCTTGTGTTCCTGTGCATTTCTAGCCACAAGCAGGTGTGCCAAGAACTCATGCTATTCTCGCTGGTTCCTCTTAACTGCAGGACTGAATGTGAGTAGGTGATGGTGTGAGAAAGCAGAGCATCATCTTCATTAGCTGCTGGTTTTAGCCTTGCTCATCCTTGGTGCTATGAGAACAGCAGTGGCCATCAGGATGCTATGCTACTTTGGAATTACCACTTCCAACATTTTGCTGTCAGTTTGAGATTTCTCCCTGCACCAAAGATGAATGAGAACTTGTGGCTGTCATCCTCGGTGAGTTCCTTCAGCATGGTTCTGAAACTTGTGCGGAGCTTCCCA